GTAGTCTGGGAAGCTGTAACAAGTCCAGTGTAAAATGAAAATTTGATAATATTGGTTTGTGTTTAAAATTTCCAGTAATAGTAACGCTCTGTTTTCTTTTCATATAATCTCAGCTGTTCTGCCATTACATTTCTTATATTCCTTTTAACTTGTTCATGGAGTTTTTTGTCTCATAAACTCCAAACCGACATTTTTAGAGACTGCCTTGTATTTATCTGATTACTACCATGGAGGTGGCATTAATTAATGACAGATGCTTAAGCTTACCCTAGATGCCATTAGCAAATGTCTTCATTATTTATTTTGATTCTTAAGGACTCCACAGGTATTACCAAAATTGCTTTCATTGTTTTTAAAATTAGCAGTCAAGAACAGGATTTGGCCAAAACTGGGAGGAGAGCCGAGCTTAAGACAAATCCTCATCCAGTGACTTGGCTGTGAGACTGAATTTATCAAAGCTCTCTGAATTCTCTGCTTTAAGAAATGTTCTGCCCTTATCTGTCCCTGTGACCTCTTTGGGTTTCTTTCACAACTGCTTACCAACACGTTTGTTGTTTTAGTGATGTGTAAACATCTCTGAATGTCAGGAATTGCACACATTTTAATGGCCTGTCCTCGTGACAGCTGTCCACATTTAATTGGGCTTTGAGAAGAATAACAACTTCACACACACTTGTGGAATGTCAGTAACAATGTCAGTAACGATAGAAAAATAATAAACACTGCTCTGAAAATGACCTTATGATAATGTTACATTATTAGGAGATACCACTTCAGTCAAAGAAACAAAAATGAAAGGAGTAAGTAGCTGCAAAAATTTAGAGCAATGCACATTTTTACATTGAACTGATACAGACAGCAAAGCATCTGAGATTTCACATTGGTTTCCCAAATTATGATGGAAAAGAAATATATTAATTGCTATAAAAAGGAGGCTTTTAGCTTGAGTGCCTTTTTTTTTCATATTATGAGCCTGTTGAAAATTCAGAAGATTAAGCAAAATTTTATAGCAATAGCAAAATGGGAATTTTCAAAGGATTGCACAAAAATTTGCCTTGTGGGCTGTATCAGCATGGTGTGAATGCATGTGGGACAGCAGTGATTTCAGGCCATTGCTGTATTTTCTTGCTTGTATTGGAGCACAAAATTGCTTTTAGAATCACACATACTCTTCAAAAACTGCTGCTCTTCTCCATCTGGGACAGAAAGCTGTTTCAGGCCTTGATTTCTGAAAGATCATCTCTGCCTGTGGATAGACAGGCACAAATCAAAGTCAACATCTGTGCATGGATAATCTTGAACCATTTTCCATCCTCTTACAATATGCTCTCTGCCTCTGCCAGTCAAAGCACTGAGATAAATGGGATGGTGCAGATCTGGATAGTGATTGAGGCTGCTGAAGTTTGGGAGGAAAATCCTCTAGGTGGCAATAGGAAATGGAATTGTGGACTTTGTTTTTTCCTGCCTCTTGCTTCTGTTCCAAACTTCACTTTTGCATGGTCGCACTTTACTTCTTTCCTTGGCAGTTGAGCTGGTGGGGGGGCAACTCTATGGAAACATTTCTCTGGAGCTTCTCTATTTACTCCCATAAAACAGCAAAGTGTGGGATATTACAGCAAGCAATGCTGGAAATACTTTGCTGTGCTCCAGGACTGCATGTCCTTTTTTAACAGAAATCATTGGGTCACACTGCAGAAATTGCTGGTGATGCCTCCTGTGCATGGTACACATAAGTGTTAAACTACAGAAAAAGACATTTATTCTTAGTCATACATATTTACTCTGTCAGGAGGTCAGGCACTGCCCTTTGATGGTGTTCTTCTCCAACAGAATTAGCTGGGGAAAGAACTTTTATGCCCTGTTTTGAGTAAGGAAGGGACACCTGTGGACTCTGGCAGTTTGGCAGACTGAAGATGGTTTTAACCACTTGAACAGTATTAGCACTCAGTGAAGTTGTTGCAGTAGTAGTTTGCTGCTGTTCAGAGAAATTCGTATGAAGCCTGTGCAATGCTTAAATTTTATTTCAATTCTCAAAAGTGAATTTACCTGGAACTGAAATGGTACATGAATTACATATCTGACTGTTACATGTATGGAGTTGAACTTAGACCTACGTTTCTCAAAAGGCCAGCTGTTCCTTCATTTTGAACTTGTCCTCTCTGTTTCTTCTCCTCTCTCTTCCTAGGTGCCCATACATGTGCATTATTTTGCATAGAATATATATATTTGCATAATATTACATAAGCACCGTGTCTGTTTTCCCTTAACACCCACTTGAGGCATTCAGCATTTCCATCTCATACCTAACTGTTTTGTGTGCAGCTCTATTCATTCCCCAGCTTCTCTATCCACCCACTCAGCCCTCAGCCTCAATCCCCAGCTCCCTCAGCTCTCTCCACATGCATTCACCTGTTTGTTTTATGTATTCCATACATTCCATTATGTACTCCCCTAATTGAAGATCCTTGTGAAGCTCCATCTGTGTGCTCGCCCTTCTTCTGGTCTTTTATGCACCAGAGCAAGGATGCCAGGATGTGGATGTGTGTGGGAGTGTGGAGAAGGAGGGAGCTGAGCTAAGGAGGACCTGGTGCATATCCATGGATTTATAGTTGGAAAAGTATGCAGAGAGGCCTGGAAAAGGCCATACTGCACAGGAATGCTGCAGGTCAGGAGATTGCTGGCCCAGGGAGATGCCAAGGACTGGGTTTAGCCTCACTGCTGCCTTCTCCCAGGAGGTTACAGCCTCTTCCTCCTCTTCCTCACCTTCCACCCTGCCCTAGGAATGTGCAGGAGGTGGGATTGCAGTGCAGGCTCTGCAAGCTCCCTGCTTCAGAGGAGAAAAGGAGCCCCAGCCTCCTGCCTTTGGCAGTATCATCACTGAACTCCTTACTCTCCCCTTCAGGGATTTTCTTGGCTCCTTCCCTGTCACCCACGGTATTTTGCAGGTACTCCCCAGCTCGAGTGCCACTGATCTCAAATAGGTTAAAACTACCAGCAGCATTCATTTTGTAATTCAGTGTTAATTCAGCAGATACAACAACGTGTTGCTGCATTGGTTTTAGTATGTTTTAGCATTACCTGTTCTTCAGTCAATTTTGATTATTTCTGGTGTTGGTCCTGGGGAGCTGTAGCTCTGGTTTCACATACACAGAATGCTAAATGCAAAGTGCTTTGACATTCAGGAGCTCTCATTTCCCTGTCAACACATCTGTCATCATTGAAAGGGAGAGGAGATTTGGCATAAGGCATTTATTCCTTAACCAGTTTCAGTGGCTGTTTGATGTCTAGGCAGAGTATTACTTAGGAGAAGGTTGGTGCCACAGCCATGATAATTTTTTTAAGAAAACGAAAACCAAATAATCCAACCCCCCCAAAAAAATCAAAACCCAACCAAACAAAAAAAACCCACAAGAACAAACCCACCAAAAAACACACAAAACCCCATCCCCCCCAAAAAAAGCCCAAACAATCAAAAAAGTTTAAATACAGAAAAACTATTAAATAGTCTAGTTTAGGGCAAGGCAGGGAAGTATTTTAGAAAACAATAAAGAAATCTAAGAGCATGTGTTTTTCAAAAACAGGAATAATGTTTCTGCTACCTTACTGCATAAATCATGAAAAACATTTATCAAGAGTTTTCCATTTCTCCTGAAGGTATTTTCTCTGGTTTTGATCTAACCAGTAAGACTTCAGGACCAGTCATTTAAAACACTGGCAGAGGTAGAGGACACAAGCCTCTGAAAGAATTTGTAACTGAAATTTAATTAACGGTTGGAATAGACCAACATGAACCTTGGTTCAGTAGCCCCAGGCAAAATTTAATTTTAAAAATGTATTTTCATTTGCAGAAGGTCTGAATACTCAGAAAAAAGTGTACATAGGAAGCTTTTATGATATGATTGAGTTATACTCAATATATTAGTGGACAAGGCTTATCTGAACTTCTGACACTGGATTAGTTTGTGAAATACTTTAATTAATGTGATAAATGCCTGCTTTCCCTGAAATGGTATTTTAACTGTATCTAACAAAAGCTGTCAGAAAAAGCCAAAACAATCAGTCTTTGCTTTTGCAAGTATTGCAAATCCTGGAAACAGCACCAAATTACTGGATTTTACGTACAGAAAAAAATGCCTTTGTAGTTTTTGTGAGGGATCTGCATCTTGTTCTTCTGTTGCAGTTAGAATAAAAGCATGGATTTGAGAAGGATACTTAGAGAAGGGTTATGCAAAACTCAGATTTTCGGTGTGTGAGCCTGTTACACTCTTAAGATGACAGATTCAGTTCAGCAATAGCAAAGGAACAAAAAAGCCGAATTCAGTGCATGCATGAGCATAACCTTTTGAGTCCTGGAGAGATTGCATTTGCCATCAATAGGTGTATTCCCTTGGAGTTATCCCTGGCACAGGGTGGGGCCTACTGTGTACGTGTGACTGTGAGACTTTAACAGTCCTGATCCTCCACTCTTGGGGCTCCCCTTAAATCCCTGGATCCTGGTCTGAGGGACACAGGAGGAAACCAAACATGTACTAGCACTGAAGTTGGATTGTAGGGAATTTTATGGAAGAAATAGGTGCATTTTCCTTGGATAGGCTTCTCTTCCAAGAAGATACTGAGTCACTGAATTTATTTTATATCTGGATCCTCTCAAAAAATGGTTGCTTAGGTAAAGTAGCTTTTAAATGCTACCGAAGTGTGGGTAATAGAAAAAAAAAGTCACAGACAGTAACTTAGAGTTGATTTGAAATATATATTGAAACCTCTGTGATTTGGAGCTGTCAGGTCAGGAACTTTCATTGTATGTTATAAGTTATTGTAGTTCCAAAAAGGAGAGGGCCCCCAGAGAGAGGGAACATGAAGGTGTGGTGGTTAGGGACATGGTTTAGTGCTGGACTTGGCAGTGCTGGATTAATGATTGCACTTGATAATTTTAAAGGTCTTTTCCAACCGAAACAGTTCTATGATTTTTGTATCTGTAACAGTCCCTTTCCTTTTGGCAGGTAATTGGAAAGGATGATGTGGCTGTACCCTCCCACCTGTACAAGGTGATCCTCGCCAGGCGCAGCAGAACTTCCTCGGAGCCCCTGGTCCTGGGGGCTTTCGTGGTGCCAAACGACCCCATAGGCTTCAGCCACCAGCTCACTGACTTCCAAGTCAGTGTTGAAGACCTGGAAAGAATGTCAGGTTTAGTTTTCTTCCCCCAGGTGGACAAGACCAAAGACGTTAAAAATATCTGTGAGGTGGATACCTGCAAACTGATGGGCTTCAAGGAATTCACCCTGTACATCACTGCCCGCAAAGTGCAGAGCGCCCGGACACTGCACCGGCTGCAGAAAGCCATGGCAGAGTTACAGGAGGCAGGGATTGAGCCTGATGAGTATCTCCTAAAGCTTTACAAGAAGAAGGAGGAAGAGCTGCTGCAGGAAAAGCCAGTAGCAGCTAGAGAGGGGAGAGCTGGCTGAGTATTCAGGAAGTTTTTGCAGAGCAAACATGGAGACAAGGGCGCCTTGAATCATCCTTTCTTGAGCTGTGAAAACAATAAAAAAATATCTGGAAGCTAATGGGTTTGGAATAATGCTCATTCTTGTGTAAAAACACGTGGTTTGCAGCACTATTTAAAGTATGGGAAGTACAAATGACCTCTTTGTGGCCTGAGTAGATCACTGGACCTCCAGGAAAGGCTTTGTGCTATTTTCCACCTGGGATGTCAGACTTAGGGTTTGCGTAGAATCCCTTCTAGGAATATCACAAAAATAGAGAGTAGACACCTTGGGAGTACAGCTGGAACATGTGTAAATGGAATTCCACCCACAAATGTCTTTCACTGCGTGCTGTAGAAGCAATTGTGCTTTCTGGAATATTTTGAAAATTTAATTAAATATTTCATTTAACACTCTTTCATTAGAGACATGTAAGACATAATGTGGTCTTCCCTTAGTTGTATTAACCAACACTTCTTCCAATCTTGTGTGCTTTTGATACTTCAGCATGTCAGGAACTCACAGTTGTTATCATTTGTGGCAAACTTACTCCATCGTGTATAATTCTGCAGTTTTTTGGTAAGAAAACCCCAACAGAACTAAAGTTTAATCAAGTGCCTACCAGTGTAGTTTGAGTTTTCACAAATTAATGTAAGCTTATCACTAAGCTCACCACTCAGTTTGGATAAACATGTTTTCTTGCATATTGTTTGATTTCAGAGGTGAGCACTACTTTCTTTTTGGTTGTTGTAGTCACTCACTGGCTTTTTTCTCAACATCTGCCTTTGGATTATAAACTGTGCAACAAAACTTGTATATTGACTGAAAATGCATTTCTAGTTCTTTTTCAGTGACAGGTCATGTTTATCAAATTTGCATCTACTTGGAAGATTAAATGAATTTTTTTTTCATTTGTTTCATACTTTATTTGTGCAACTTACTGTGACTTGTATCCCCTCACATCTTACATCTGGAAAGAAAGAGTAAAATCTGGAAATACTTAGAATTTTTTTGATGGTAAGAATTGATAGACATTTGGAGTTTGTGCTGTAAAAACACCTTCAGTAGTTTTCACATGAAAGAAGGGTCATGTAGTGCGTGGCTGAATGGGGCTGTTTTCATAAAGGATGAATCAGGAGCATTATTTGGATGCTGTGAATCATCAGCTGGGGGTTCTCAGAACTCTGTAGTTTCCTTCTCTGCTCAGTTGCAGTATCCCAAAGCAGATCGCTTCATAAAGCAAGCCGTGGTTCCCATTGCACTTTTGTGTTTGCCAAGAACATGTACTCAAAATCCAGACATTTAAATCCAAAGAAATGTCACTAGCTAAGGACATCATAAAATTGCTCACATGAATTAGTGAGAAATTGGGTGAAATCCTGACAAAATGTTTGCTCATTTCAATTTTAACCCAGAACTGTGGTTGTAAATCCTGTCAGATGTAACAAAAGCAGTAAATTGCAAAGCAAGAAGCCACATTTCCCTTTTCAGAATGTGCAGAGGGGGGTTTGCCTGGAATAACAAAAAGCCAAATTCTTCACGTGCCTCTTGGTGGTCCAGTGAGTGCTTCACTGGAGTCCAGGCAGCCTTTGGGCACTGCCATGGGGTCACCCTTTGAAACAGGTACCTGTTCATTGCCCTTTGCATTCTCTTTTTCCTCATTATTAGAATTATTTGCATTTTTTAATTCAGCCTTCCACCTTCCTCATGAGCTGAGAGGTTCCAGATCTCCCCTGTGGTGCTCACACGCCCATGGATGGCAGAAACAGATCTCAGTGCTATAGATTTGTGTCCATCCATAGCAAAACCCTGCCTTGGGACAGTGCCAGGTGTGTGTGAGGAGCTCCAGGGGTGTGTGAGGAGCTCCAGGTGTGTGTGAGGAGCTTCAGATGTGTGTGAAGAGTTTCAGGTGTATGTGAGGAGTTCCAAGTGTATGTGAGGAGCTCCAGGTGTAGGTGAGGAGCTCCAGGTACCATCCCTTGCTGCTGACAGCTCACCAGTGTGACAGCAGCAGAAGCATCGAGTGCATCCCTGTGCAGTCCTGCTGTGGAGACAGCTGGTCCCTAAGAGAACCTCTTCAGCCTTACATGCCCCCTTGGATTCCTGCGAGCCCCAATTACCATAATTCCCATGCCTCGTGGCTTACAGCATGGCCTGGGCTCCCTGGATCATTTTCAGCCCCGTTTGAGCATGGTTGGTGTTCCTCAGCTCCCCTCCGAGGGCAGCAGCAGGTGGTGAACCGTGAAACCATTCCCAGAGCTGCTCCATGCCAAAGAGAACATTCACCTGCTCCCCTCCTGCTGCTTTCCTGACCTCAATTAACTGTGGAGTCTGGCATGGAGCAAAAAAATGTGCTTTCTTTACAGTAGGAAATATAAGATGAGTAATAGCAAAGGGGTGAGGCTTTACACACTTGTTTGAGCCGCCTCTGTGAGTAATTGATTCAACATCCATGAGAACTGTGCTGTTGTCCATGTCTATCTGTCATTCCTGTGGCACAATTAATCACTTGCATCTGTAGTGACAGTGGGAACCTCTGTGCTGCAGCTAAGCAGCAGGAGGCCTGGAAATAGAGAAATTTCTTCTTCGTTCTTCCACTGTTCTTCTGTGTTTATTTTAGAAAGATAAATAACGAAATCACAGGGGAAAGTTGACAGCTAGGCTGTCCACAGACCGATACACTGATTTTCTGATATTCTCCTGGCTGGCTGCTCTAGATTGTTTCTGCTGGGCTGGAATCAGGGTGAAAGTGGTGGGAGACAAGAGGCAGGTGGGAAGGGAATGCCAGGAGGAGCTGTTGCTGTGCTCATGGACTTCGGGCTGCGCTCAGTGCACTTTAATATTTGGCCTTTTGAGGGCAGACTCCTTCCACAGTGTCAGCCCCAGCGGCCAAAAATGATGGGGGACATGGCTCGAGTGTCTCTGGCCCATAATAACTGTCTTTCTCTTTGTGATACTGAAATACCCGTTTAAAATGAGCTGTTTCAAGCATTATATTGAAGCATTATATCAAGTGCAGTATAAAGCTAATGATTTTTCCTAGATAAGAGTTTTGACAATAATGTCCGGAAGTGCATTCACATTGACCACCCAAGTTGTGTATCTGCTACAAAGAAAATTTTGTCTCCACTTCCTCATGAATTTCATTCTAGGTGAGGATTTAACCCTGCACTGATGTCTTGAAGTGCTGTTGATTTACATCTATAAACACAATTGGATGGGGAGAGAGGGGCGGAGTTAAAAGTTCTCCTTTTAATTTTTGTGTGGTTGGTTTATTTCAGAGCAATTTTCAATTTGTCCTGTAGTTTTAAAGATGGAGCTTTGCTCGTTATGTTGAGTGCTGCACTAAACTATGGAGAAACAGTTTATTGCCTGAAAAAGTGATGTATATTGGATACACCAGGCAACAACTGGAAGGGCAGAAGATAAACCAAGATAACCAGAAACTTGAAGACTACTTTCCTCAACAATTCTGTGATTCCATGCTTCTTCCAGGACACCACCTGGTTGAGTGAGGTGCCCAAGCAGATGTGTTTTACAGCCTTGTTTGATTCGGTTCATGGACTCGAAGGCCCTGACCTTTCTAGTGGAAACTCCCAGTTTGTAGAATTCCTGCCAAACTGGGCAGCCAGAGCCGTGCTGTCCCTGGGGCTGCCGGCTGGGGACATAGCCCCAGAGAATGTGAAAGTCTCCTGCCTGCCAGGTGCCTTTGCTGTCTGTGCTGCTGGGTGGAATAGGCTTGTTGAAGTGCAGCAGCCTTGCTGTGCCTGCTTTTGGTGGGAGGTCTCCACGGTGAAGCTGCTCCAAAGAGGCTTCCCCAGGTAGGGCCAGCCAGGTGGGTAAAGCAGAGCTGGGACAGCAGAGGAGCAGGGAGAGGCTATTTGGAGTTTGCAGAGCAGTGGCACCTCTGGTACTGTGCCACCTGTGTCTCTTTACATGTTTAACCTTTGCCAGCCTGGTGGAGGAAACCCCAAAGCCTCCTGTGCCCATCCTGGTGCCCATGTGTTTGTTTCCCGGCAGTGAAGCTGTGGAGGAATTGCATGCAAACCCCAGCGTGCTGTTGCTGATAACTTGGCTCAGCAGGGACGTGAGGAACAATTTTGCTGTTATTTTTGAATTGTCTTCTGCAGCCGCATGGGAAAATTTTTTCTCACTATGCAGCGAAGGATATGTAGGAAATGTTTCAATGTTTCTTTTTTTCATTTATTTTTTGATACAGGTCCATCTGATCAGCTCCACCCACACAGTGGTGGTGTAGCCAGATCTCACACGCTTCCTAATAACCATCTGCCCGTGCAATTAATGGCTTTTCTGCTTTTGCCGTAGTGTGAGGAAAAGATTGAACCAGAGCTTTGAGTATTTGCTTAAAATATCTGAAGTGTGTGTGTGTGTGTGTGGATGCTCTGGGACGGAACTTGGTGCTGAACACCCCCCACTTTCCCATGTTGTAAATTATTGTGGAGCAACTGGCCTTTCCCATGGTGTCATTCAAACAGGGCAGGTTCCCCACTGCTGTGTGAAAAGTGAACAGCTGTGGCAACGTAGTATTCCCAAAATACTCACTCCCAAGAGCTGAACACAAGGCTGATCACGTTGGTTTGGGAAGCACCATGGCTGCCATCCCGGTGTCTCCATCAGTAGTGGGTGGGGAGAGAGGCAGCAAGCAGGTCTGGAAGGAAACTCTTCCAACTCTGCTTAAGAAACAGAGCAGAGATATTTAGCAGATCACAGAAGTAAGTTTGGGTTGTGACAAGAATAAATATTTCCCAAGACAACAAATAAAACGCCATGCAAGCTCTCAGCAGCTGATGGGGCAGGGCTCAGCATCGAGCAGGCTGGAGCAGGGAGGGAATGGGAGCACATGCTGAGCTGCTGGTGTTCACAGCCCTGAGTCCTGTCCCATCTTTCCTTGGATGCATCCACATGAAGCCTGCAAACCTTAATTTTTATGCTAATAAATAAAGTTCGGAAATTATTGGTTTTGTAGAGCTTTTTTAGCAAGAGCTTAGTACCCATTGTGTTATTTTAGAAAGATAAAAACATCCCCATTGAATTAGTAAAAGTAGAATTCCCCCCTTTTTGCTACAATTAATAATAATAAATTTTGATGAGAAAAACCATCCCATCTCCCTGCCAGCTTCCTTTTACTTCCCTATAGTAAGTAAAATAGTATTCCTGTCCCCATGGCTGTTTTGTGACTCTTTGTTGCTGCAGTGCCTCCAAAAGTGAGGTGGCCATGCCTAGCTCCGGGGGAGCCACAGTGGGACACAAAGGATTAGGCAGCCTGGCTGTAAAAATGGGCTTGAGCTTGGATTTGGTCACAGAGTGTTGTAAGGTGTAAGGTAAGCTAAAACTGAAGATTTGAAAGTAGGTGAGAGAGCTGACCTAACCGATGGCATTG